GATTTAAGCAACAGCTTTGTGACTCGACAGACTGCAACCTGTGCGTCCTCAGCCGCGGTGAAAACTCTTTCCAGCCCTTTGTTTCCTGGCACTTCAAGGTCTCTAGTTTGTGGAGCTGTGGAGGGTCCCGTTACAGTCTTCTGAGAGAAGGATGTGTGGGGCTGGGGCGGCTGAGCTGCTGGGATGTTCGCATTGTTTTGCAAACCTCATCTGAAAATGATACGTCTTATTAGCTGTTGCGTTCTTTGTCCTGAAACCAAGGGTCCCGGTTCAAGTTGACGTTCGCTCACCTCATTACCCAAGTGATGAGTGCGCAGGTCCTCAAGGTCATGTTTCAAGCCTAATCATAGGGAATGGGATGCTTTGTGCAGGGTGAAGAAAAGGCACGGGACACCACAGGGTGGTCCTTAGGGTTCATATTAGCTCCAGGAATTCAAAGCTCTTTAATAGGAAGCAGGTATTTTAGGTAGTTGTACAGGTTTGGAATTTCATGAACAATTATTTTAGTTGGCAGTACGTATCATATCATATCGTTGGTGGTGTAGCAGTTACCTGTTGAGCTGCTAGGAGTTTAGAACCACCAGCCTCTACAGGAGAGAGATGAGGCTTTCTACTCCTATAAAGGGTTGTTACAGTCTTGGAAACCCACAGGGCAGTTCTCTCTTGCCCTATAGGGTCACTATGAATCAGAATCGACTTGCTGGCAGTGAGTTGGTTTTTTGGGAAAGTATTTACTGCTATATGTATAACACTTGTACCAGATAGTGCCTGTATGTATCAGGGGCCGTGTGTATGCAATGGCACTCCTTCTTACCCCTCGAGCCCTGCGCTGAGTTTGAGAAAGATGTGGCAGGCTGCTGCTGTGGAGATCGATCCCTTCGGAAACTCTCTGGGGCAGTTCTGCGCTCCTGTGTGCTGAACTGGAGTCAGCTGCAGACCGTGCAGGCTTTCTGTTGTGTTTCTCTGTCACTTCTTGCTGTATTCTGGGCCCTCATCCTTCTCTGCAAAAGAATCGTTCCAACCTATTCCTGGGCACTCTGGGTTCTGTGTTAGGCCGCTAACTGCCAGGCCAGGGGTTCAAACGCACAGTCACTCTGAGGGGAAGATGAGGTGGTCTGCTGCCATAGAGATTTAGGAACCCTCTCTAGCCTTTTCCAGAATCCACTTGATGGCAGTGGGCTTGTTTTGTATTCATCTTGTGTCTTTCATTCAGAATGAATTATTTACCAATACACGAGTCATAGAGTGACCTAAGTAATTTTTGAGTTGACTGAAATGGCCAGGCAAATTTACAGGCCTATCGATAGGGATCTTTAAAGGAACTGCATATTTAACACCGCCAATATGTGCGTGGTGGTTTTCAGGACCATTTTTCCAAAGTTTACAAATGCTTCGTTGTAAAATGTTTCAGATACCAAAAAAAGCCCAGAAAGAAAATTGTCAAGGATGTGAAAGTCACCCAGGCATCCACTTGTATTTACCAAAGTGTCACATTTGCTTCACCGCGGTCTAAAGAAAAGCAGGAGGTTGAATTCCACTCCCCCCCACCCCCACGCCCTGCCCGCTCCCCCTCCCATCTTGCCCTCCTTAATCTCGATCCGTCTTTTCTATGGTGTGCTTTTGGTTTTGTTAATGTGGTTACATGTCCATACCACACAGATTATGCAGTTGCATGTCCCACATTGGGAGAAATGGCCAGGTGAATCCTGACGCACCTCACCGTGGCGGGGGAACCACCTTTGTGATTCCGGTGTAGTTCCTGCCGTAGACGCCTGTCCATGTCCTTACCCTCTCCCTACTTACACATTTGTCTTTGTAAAATTTCGACTCCACCAATATTTGTGCAGCTTGCCTTTTCACTAAGATTTACCGACCACGACACACGCAAGCCGTGCTGTCCATTTGAGCTCGTGCTGTCCATTGAGACTCCTTCCACTGAGTAGCCATCGTGGGTGTATCTGACTCAGGGCGTCCCCGGGTGGTAAGGCGTCAAAGGGCTCCGTGGGGGTTTCTGGACTTTAATCGTCACAAAGGCAGATCACCAGGTCTTTCCTCCTCTTACCCAACTGAGTGCGGTTGAGAAACTGAAAATCGTCTGATCACGTTCTTCTATTTCCTTTCTAAGGGTTATTCAAGGCTGTTTCCAAGTTCTTATTATGATGCCCAAACGGAGCCCACTGCTCTCGAGTTGGCTCTGGCTCTGACCCTGTGGGATGGAGCAGGACTGCTATTGCAGTTTCTGAGACGATCAATCTTTATGGGAGCAGACAACTTCTTCTTTCTCTTGAGGTGGGTTTGAGCCTCGGGAGAAATGCTATGTAAGGAACCTTTCACACCTCAGGTCTGACTTGCTCATCTTTCAGTCGTTGATAAATGCCATGGCTGCTGACTCACGGCCACCTGAGCGTGCAGAGCAGATCCGCCCCACAAGGTTTGCGAAGCGGTGATCTTTTGGAAACAGATAAATCGCCAGGCCTGCCTTCTAAGGCACAAATAGGTGGGCTCAAAGGGACGACCTTTTAGCGAGGAATCCAGTGCTTACCCATTTGCACCCCAGAATTCCTACCTTTGAAATAATATACCTTAAATCGGTCAATCATCCTCTCCGCCCAGAGGACCATAGGCGTCCAGTGTCTCCCTAGATGCACTTCCCTTCCATTTATGGTTCATGTAGCCCCACCCAGTCAGACTGTATCTTTCCTTTTCTCAAAACCCTCCAAGGGCTTCCCATCACACCTACAATGAAATCCAGCCTTTCCCATAGCCGGGAGGCCCAGGTGTCCTGGCCCTCTCTCTCTCTCACTGTCATTCAGTCACCCTAGGCTGGCTGCTGTTCATGGCTGCACCACCTGCACACAACCTGGACCCTGTCTGTACTTCCTTCGTTGTCCGGTGACTACTCCCTTCCTTTGTTCACAGGTCACCTCCACAGAGAAGACTTTCTGGTTTCTCTTATCTAAATTAGTATCTCCTTCATCTCCTATCCCTTTAGGAACTTGTTTATCTGGCTCCTTCACTGGAGTCAACATTCCGGGGACTTTGTGTCCTTAGTTGGCCTATAAGCAACCCAGCAGTCGTTGGTCCAATGAGCAAGAAAATGAGCGTGCATCAAGTCAGGATTCATTATGCATATTCTCCAGAATTCGTTTTTTAAAGGGAAAAAGTCTAATTTATTTGTATTTTAATGTATGTTTCCTTCCACCATGGTACAATTTTATTTTTTAAATATATAATTGCTTTTCAAATTTAGCTTTTTAATTTGTACATAATTCACATAACAGACAATCCAACAATTTAAACACATTATTGACACATAATTCACATATCACACAAACATATTAACAAGTGTTGTGTGATCATGACCACAATCCATTTTAGAACATTGTCTTCTTTCTTGTCCTCATTAGCTCCCCACTGGCCCCCAACCTCAACTGGCACAACTTCAAGAAGCGATTAAACCAGTTAGCTGTTTCTTTAGATTTCCTACCCTGAATTCCATACCATGAAAATGATACAAAAGCAACAACAAAAACAGCATCAGTAATAAAACATAGAAAAGCTCAGTTGAAAAAAACAACAGAAAATAATAAAAACTTGAACAAATTTAAAGTGAGCCAAAAGGGAGAACAGATGATAAAGTGTTGAATTTTAATCGAACTGCATCTGTATTAGTCCACTTTCTGATTCTCTGTCAGATAGCGAGGCTATGCACCCCCTGGCCAATGGTTAGAGAGATTTCACCCGAGGCTTAGTCCCAGAGGGGGCCCTGCAGATGGATTCTGGGTTTGTATTCTCATCCATAACTCTCAAATGCAAACTCACTCCCAGCGAGTCAATCTCAACTCACAGCAACCCTACAGGACAGGTAGAACTGCCCCTGTGGGCTTCCAAGAGAGCAACTCTTTACAGGAGTAGAAAGTCTCATTTTTCTTCTGTGGAACGTCTGGTGGTTACAAACTGCTGATCTTAACAGCCCAATGCATAACCACTACACCACCAGGGACCCCTAGCCTTCTGCAAACTAGGTGCTCAGAATTTCAGCCGTGGTACCATTCTCTCCTCTGGTCTTGGATCAGGACACTTTTTTGGTAGCTTTGTTGATCGTGAAACACACATACCCAGAAGTGAAACGAGAGTTTCAGAAAACAATCATCACACGCAAGTCCTCTGTCATGAAGTCCATTTCTACTCATCAGGATCTTATAGGAAAAAGTCGAACTGCTTCCTAGGGTTTCCAAGGCTCTCTACAGAAGCAGACTGCCACATCAGTCTACCCTGGAGCTGGCTGGTGGGTTTGAAGTGTTGATCTTTCAGGTGGCAGCGGAGCACTAAACCACGGTGCCAGCAGAGCTCCTTAACTCAACACCAAGCCCGAGCCCAGCAAGTCAGTTCCAATTCAGAGTGACCCTACGTGGGATTTCCCAGACTGTAAATCTTTATTGGAGCAGAAAACTTCATCTTTCTCTGGAGGAACAGCTGGTGGTTTTGAACTTCCAACCTTGCAGTTATGAGTTCAATAGGGCTCCTTCGTATTCTCCAATTATATATATATATATATATATATATTTCATTTAAACTAAAAGAAGAAACTATCTTAGTTTCAACCCACCAAATTTATGTTGCAGGTTGAAACTCACTGTAGGGCAGATAGGAGGAGGCTTCAAAAAGTTTTTGGACAAACGGCATGAAGAGATCATGGAATTGTCCCATAAACTCTTGGGCGCCCGCTTGTATAGGGTCACAATGAGTTGGAATCCACTCGATGGCTGTGAGTATGGTGTTGGTTTTATCTATCTCTCTTGAAATTGCTTTGTTGAGTTTTATGAAATAGTTCTATCGTTAAAAACACACTATGAACATCATTGCAAAAGGTGCCATGGTGGATTAATGGATTACTCCTTTGCCAGCTGCGCAGTTCAGAAACCCACTAGCAGTGCCCCAGGATAGAGACTTTCCGGTAGCGTCAAGATTTACGGCTGCAGAGAAAGTCCGAGGTGACGATGACTCTGTGGAAGTGAGTGAGTTTATTTAACCTCATTACAACCTACTCTTGTTGCCAGGCGCCCTTGAGGAGGCTCTGACTTAGCGACCTGTGTACGGGAGAATGAAACACGGTCAGGTCCGGCACCCTCCTCACCATTGCTCTTATTTTCAGCCCATTCTTGCAGCCACTGTGCCCATCCTTCCCCTCGAGGGTCTTCTAGTTCCCTGTCCCTCTGCTTTGTCACACGTGATGTCCTTCCCCAGGGACTGTTCTCTCCTGACAACATGTCCAGAGCACGCGAGAGGTTGTGCTGTTCCTCTTATTCGTATCAGCACAGGATCTTACCAGCATTAAACATTTATTTTTTTATCAGTGTGTAGGAAATGATAGCTTGTTTTCATTTGCAGGAGAAAACAAATTATTGCCCTCAAATTTACTTCTGTTATTGTGTCTTCCCCCCCTAGTTAAAAACAAACAAAAAGGTTTATTGTGAATTACATGGAGCGTTCATAACTCAGATTACTCATTTTACATTCGACAATTCATACCTGCTTTGTTCCACCTCATCCACTGCAGTCTGCTCAAGGCGCCAGTCACTCGCTGCTTGGCTCACTGCACAACTGAGCCGTGTGCATTTTTTTGATCGAAATAACGGATCAGACCACAGATCTTATTTTTCAAAAGCGTATAAACTAAATAGCAACCTGGGGAGCACGAAGACTCTCCCTATCAAAACCCTTGATGGGTGACATGACTGAAGCAGCCCAGAATTCCTACCCTGTGCAGCAGCATTTCCACCTTCTCCTATAGGTTAGTGACACCCAGGCAGAAAAAAATTTTTTTTCTTTTTCAATTCATTCAACAAATACTTATTGAGGCTTCACGTCCCCCATGAGCCAGGCATGGGCCCAGGTGCTGGGCCTGCCCAGCCCGACAGCTTCTCTTGGTACCTGCCTTCCTGTTCCGTGTCTGCTGTAAGGTGTAAGTGACCGCTGGGCTGTGTGTGTTCTAGACTCCTGAAGATTGCCAGGGCCCCTTGCCGTCCTTCAAATACATTCCTTTGGCACATTTCCTCGCGCAGAAGTTTTGCTTTTGTAGTCATTGCAACTAGAAAGGAAGCCGTGTCTTGACGCGCACTTTCTTACTGCAAAGAACTTAACGTATTCCCGACCGACCGAAAGTTTGTAAGAAATGGGGGGGGGGGAACGCGAACGTGGATTTCCATTTTATTTATTTTTTAGTTGTAAGATTATAATTAGGGTCTTTACAAGCAATCCAGCTTCTTCCGGGCAACTTTTTTCCCCCCTTAAATTAATAACAACACAGATTCACACTGTATTTTTTGTAATGCCACGGTCTGATGAAAGGAGAAGTTAACAAATATTCTTACTTTCACTCCGATTCAGTTCATCCTAAATTGTCACCGGAGAGGTCACCAAGGCACATGAACAGTTCTCAGTTTCCACCACACAGATCATATCCCTGAAAACTTTAGTTTGCCTAGTCCGCGTTGGCAGGTAAATCTTCACCAAACTGTCGCTTTTCCCCTCCCTAGTTTAAAAACCTCAAGTCCTAAGTGAAACAACTTAGCTTTTTTTGTTTTCTCAGGATTCAATTGATTTTATTGCTTTAGATAATTGTGCGGTTACTAGATAAGAGACGCTACACCCAGGGGCATTGAATCTGCTAATAAAGGGCGGAGTGCTGTGCGAGATTCTTTACGTTAGAAAAGAACGCCGCAGGCAGCAATGAAAGTGCTAAAGCCTGACCGTGCGAGCAGCGTCCCTCTCCACCGGTCTCCATTACCCGCTGGCCACCCTTGCCGCCTCCCGGCCCAGCGTGCTTGCCAATCAGCCAGCCCAGCCCGGGGCAATCAGGACCACTTTCGCGCCATTCGCTCAGGACCGCGCAGCCAAGTAGAGAGAGATGTCCTAACAGGCAAAAAAAAGCGCCTCACTTTTTCAAAGCGAATGTTAGGAATCTGTATAGATATTAAATAAAGTCGTGACATTTCGGGAGTGAAATTTTTCCCCTCGAAGTCCGTTGGGTGTAGACTCGCCAGCTCTCCCCACAGCTTGCAGGACCCGCGCGCTAGCGCGGGAAAATCAGGCTCGAGCCCCGCCCTTCCAGCCCGGGTCGGCGCGCCCCGCCCCTCACTGCGCGGCCCGCGCTCCTCCAGCTTCGTGGGACTGCACAGCGCGCGCCGTTTCTCGGGCCTCCGTGTTCTGGGCACTCCGGTGGCCGGCCGGGGCGTCCGCTGCCAGCATGGACACTCGCTGCGTGCCGGTGAGGGCTGGGCGAGCGAGCCGTGGGGTGCGCGTGGTGGGTGCTGGCAGCTAGCGGGCGGCCGGGCGCGGGCCGGCTTTGCTGGAGTGCTGCTGATCAACCGGTGGTCGCCCCGGCGGTCGCGCAGTCACGCCAACCCCAGGTTTTATGCACCTGGGACCGTTCAAGGCCAGGGGAGGTTCCCGACGGCCGTGCGCACCCGGCTGGAGAAGCATGGGGCGCTTTGGCAGTTCTTAGCAGCACCGGGGCGCCTGCGGCCACGTGCGCTCGTGGGACGCGTGCGCCGGCGGCGGGACGGGGTCATTGTGTCCGCAGGCCTGAGTCCGGCCGCCGGGGCGCGGGGACCAGGGCTTTGCTCCACCGGCTCGCCGGTAAATTGCCCGCAGCCTGCTGCCCATCCCTGCCCAGCGCACAGCCCGGGGTTCGAGCGCGGCGCCCGCGGTAACCCGGCGAGTAGGGACGGCCCCTGGGGGCGCTCCCCGCCGCCCGGCGTTGGGAATTTAAAGGTCTTGCAAAGCGGTTTCTTTAGAATTTGAGTTGTGCACGTGGGCGGTGGCGTTTCAAATTCCAGGCGTCGATGAGATGTCATTGAAAAGCCTCGTTTGCGGTGCATTTCTTCGCTCGTCTCCCATCATTTCCCGCTTCCCTGGCCGTCGCCAGTCTGGGCTCCGAGTGGACGTTTACGGGCGGCGCTAACGGGCCCGGCCCACGCGGAGAGGAGAAGCGCGCGCGTAAAATCTCAGTAAGCTCGCTTCAGTAAGTCTTCGGCAGAAAGACAGCTTTCTACTCTCGTCACAGTTACCGTCTCGGGAACTCCCGGGGAGGTTGTACCCTCTGCTGTTACAGAGTTGCTCTTAGTCGGCAGTAAGTTTAAGGTTGGGGTCAGGGACCTACGTGGAAATGACTCGGCCCCAGGGGAGGGGGCGTGGGACAGAGCCTTTCATCAGCGCAGTGAAAATGGGCACTGGCAATCAGGACCCTTTTTACCTCTGAGCCCGTTTCCACGTGTGTTAGGTGGGGACAATGATAGCGCCTTTGTTGCAAGGAATGAACACGTACCATCGACAAATCACCCCAAATCACAACCGAATGCCTGGAACAAGGAACATTTGTGGTTTTCGTTCTGCCTTCCCTCAGAGCTCACTTCCCCACCCTCCTTTCCATATCTTTGCTTCCACAGGTTTGCCTGAAACTCCTGTGCGGGCTTGTAAGATTAGAGGCCAACAAATATTTTCTTAACAGCTTCCGATAGAATTGCCTTCCCTTCAGTTGGAGAACGAAGGTTTCTGAGAACCCTTTTCAATTGTTAATATTCATTGTACAAGAGAAGTTTCCAAAAGCTGGTGGAAAATGGAATTAAAAGATCATGGGATTTCCCCATGAACTTTTCGAAGCCCCCATGTATTCCCATCCTGCCTTTATACTATTTACTTTCACATTGTCTGCCTTTCACAAAAGAAATGACTCAGAGGCAAAGGAAGTTTGGGATAACATCATGATGAAAATAATTTTATTTGCAGGTGACTGCAATGCAGAATGCTGGGTCCGTATTGACTCGTGGGGACCTGATGTAGGGTTTCCGGGCCTGTAAGTCATGACAAGAGCAGACCGCCTCATCTTTCTCGGGGGAGCTGTTGGTGGGGGTTTGAGAACCACTGCTGTTAGTAGTCCAGCACTTTCCATATATGGCCACCAGGGCTCCTTATGTGAATATAAAAACAGCTAAACCAAATACCGCCACTCAGGGACCTGTAAGACAGGGTCCCTGCCTCTGAGTTCCAGAGACTGTCACGCTTTATAGAAGGTTCATCTTGTCCTGTTCCATTGACCCCCAAGGTCTTCATCCTATTTGTGGGACCTGTAGGAGGACCGGGGAAGGAAGATGAGGCTTTCGACTCCATAAAGAGTTAGTCTCAGAAACCCACAGAGGCAGGTCCACCCTGCTGTGTATAGTGCCGCTGTGAGGTGGCATGGGCTCGTGGGCAGTGAGTTTCTGCTGTTGTTTTTACTGGAGGACTCTGGGTGTTGCAAATGGGTAAGTGCCCAATTGGTACTTCCAAAAAGTTGGCTGTTGGAACCCCCCAGAGAGAGGCACCTGGCAATTCACTTACAGAACAATGAGTTATTGTAAACCTAGCATCAAAACCAAATTCACCACCCTCAAGCAGGTTTGGACTCATAGCGCCCTGGCAGCACAGAGTAGAACTGCCCCTGGGGGTTTCCAAGATGAATTCTTTGGTTAAAAAAAACACCCCAAAATTACTGTCATGGAGTGGATTCCTACTCAAAGCGTCGCTATAGGACACAGTAGAACTTACCCTGTGTTTCCATCACTGAAAATCTTCATGGGAGTAAGAAAACTCCTCTCCCATGGAGCAGTTCTCTTTACAGGAGACGAAACCCTCATTTGAATCTTGAGAGCAGCTGATGGTTTTGAACTGCTGACCTTGGTGTTAGCAGCCCAATGTCTAACCACAGGGGTATTCATAAGTCGGAAGACACCTGCCTTTGCCATTCAAAAATCCCTTTAATTTATCATCACACCGGATGAGAGGAAGCAGTGAGGTGGTTTAGGTTATATGCCAACCTGGCAAGGCCATGATTCTCAGTGGCTCCTCAGTGACGTAAATGGTGTAATTTGACTGTAGCGGAGTGATAGAGTCACCCTCCATTTTGTGATCTGATGTGCTCATCTTCCATTATCACATAACTGACTTTGGACATGGAGAGAATGTCCGGGGTCAGGAGGCAGGGTGGAGCCAGCGGGGCGCAGAACTAGCTGTTTAGTGTAGGCGGTCTTGGCCAGATTAAAGACGGTTAAGAACACGGGGACGATGCACCACTGAAGGAATCGCAACCAAATGCCAGGAGCTGCTTTCCTTTGTCCATGAGCGAGACGAAGATTGCATTTCCTGGGGAGCTGTTTGGGTTGGGGTTGTTTGTGAATGGATGAGCCATTTTGTACCTACCAGCGATTTGCACTTAGGAACCGACTTCTGAAAGCCTACATCTTGTCGAGCAGGGGGACTGCAGAGAGCTGACTGTCGGCCAGACTAATAGAGCTCTGAAGTGGAATCAGGCATTCCACCTGGGTCTGGAGTGCTGGTTGACCTTTCCTTGGCTCCTTGCGCCATTTGTTCTGCTGGCTGATGTGTTTGATTTGCAAGGACTTGTGCCGAAATCACGGCCCCTCTCCTGACTGGAACTGAGCCTGTTGGGAAGCCTGCCATCCTGAAGCAGAGGTCTTGCCCATTCTTTGTGGTGTGGGGAATCAGCGTCGCAGTGCATAGCCCAGAGCCTATATAAAAAGACCTCATTAGCTTCATTTTAGCTGAAGGGGGAGGGGCGAGAACCCCAAAACTCTTTAGGACTTCAAATTTTTCCTTTTAGTACAGTTTGTTGATTTTTTTTTTTTAAAGAAGAGGGTGGGTTTTAGGCATTAGCATTAAACCTCCTGAGTTCAATATAATAATACTAAGCGTTCAAAGGCTTGTCTGATGTTTTTTAAATAAATAGATAAAATGTCATGGAGGTTTTCCTCCAACAGGGTAGGATTTAGCAAATGGTAGTCATTTTCCCCCCAAGTTTTTATTAAAATGAAAAAAAACCAACAAAAAACCGTTGATTTTTAACTTTTGCCTTCTCACCAATCTCTCATGGGTCGCTTTCCTTAAGGCATCATTTAGTTCCTAAGTCCGTTTGTTGTTTTTCCTTTGAGTGTCTTACTGTGCTTTGTACTGTGGTTTGTGGGAGAGAGATGAGGCGGGCTCTGCCCGTCAATATGTACAGCACAGCCTCCACCCTGTGGAGCAGTTCCCTTCTGTCCTGCAGTGTAGGTTGCTGGGATTGCTGGGAGTCGACTCCAAGGGATTGGAATTGGGTTTAGATTTCCTTGGTTGTGGGTGAAAGTTTACAAAGTAAATTCATTTCCCATTCTGCAATTTTTACACATTGCAAAAATGTTCTAAGCAGTTGCAAATCATTTTCCTGCAATAGGATGTGAAAAAATGGACATAGTGACTGCTGTTTGAACCTACTAAACTCCAAAGTGATGCCTGTTAGCCAGACACTTCAGTAAACGTGCACTTAACAGCATTGCCACTTCCATCTGCAGCCAAAGAAGCCCCGAGTACAGAACTTCAAGAAATTCAGTTATGTGAAGTTGATTTCCATGGAAACCTCGTCATCCTCTGATGACAGTTGTGACAGCTTTGCTTCTGATAATTTTGCAAACACGGTAAGTGCTGCCTGAGAATAAACAGAATTGAGTCTGCAGTGCTCAAAATGCCCCCAAATGCTTTGTGCATGATTAAAACTGCTTGCTTTTTGCCTACATTTCTATACAGCCGTTATGAAAATACAGTATGCACTGTAATTTCATTTCACTCTTTGCTGTGGTTCTAGGTAGTAATTGTTGGAGGTAGAATAGCTACTTATTCCATCCTTTTGAAATGTCGCCTAACCTAACATGCCTGATGATTTGCCATAACAACTCAGAAATCATTTGTAAACCCCTGAACCATTTTTCTTTGTAACAAAAGCTATTCTCTTGTAGTGCACTTGTAAATGTGATTTGCTCTCTGCACAGTTTATGGAAAATTGGTTCTTGAAAGAGAGAGAGAGAGAGAAAATGCCCAACCACATTTATTTATTTATTTTACAGAAACCTAAATTCAGGTCAGATATCAGTGAAGAACTGGCAAATGTGTTTTATGAGGAGTCTGATAGCGAATCTTTCTGCGGCTTTTCAGAAAGTGAGGTGCAAGATGTGTTAGACCACTGTGGATTTGTACAGCACCCCAAACCGAGGCCAGATGTCAGTAACGAACTGGCCAGTCTTTTTCGTGCCGACTCTGACGATGACTCATTTTGTGGTTTCTCAGACACTGAGATCCAAGATGAAATGGTGAGTTTGAGACTTTCACCAATATCCAGGCGCGGAGGTGTATTTAGAGGCATGGCATGTTACTACGGGATTTTTACTCTTTCTTGTCCTGCCTTGGCTGTTCATTTTTGTCATGCCAGAAGATTTTGCTGACTTAAAAAAAAAAATCCTATGAGTATTTTATCTCCTCAGCCATTGTTTTCATTAAGATAGCCCTGTTTGTAAATCACAAGCCTTTGTAGGCTTTGAAAATCTTGGAAGTTGGTAAGGTGGGATTGACCAACGTCCACATAACCATTACCACGGAAATCCAGTCTCACCAGAGGAAGTACACGTGTCCTAATGAACTTCAAGTGCCCAGCCAGGGCCTCTCACAGAGCAGACCCTTGGGTCAGTATTGGTTCCCTTCGTGGATCTGTCTCTGCATCTTGAAAACGTATGTTGACTCATGTGCAGGACTCAGAGTGTTGGACAGTGCCAATTAGGACCCTTTGAGAATCTGCTTGCTCCTTGCTTGGTGTTGCCTGAGCTGTTGCTGCATTTTCTTTAACCAACTCTGCTCCTCTGCTAAGGCCACTGCTGTTGTTGCTTCGAAGTACTGCCCGCTCTGAGCACACTGCTTAGTTGAGCTGTTAAGCAAGACTTTGTGGACAAAGCAGGGTGATGATTTACAATTGGGTGCATGCTTTTCAACCCAAACTGTCCTGAAACAGGTCCACAGCCCAGGGGCCACACTTGAGGAGCATTGATTTAAGTGACAGTGTCCGGCTGAGGCCTGTCTTTGAGGCAATGTAAAGCTTCCTCTAGTGAGTGAGATGGGTTAAAATCCATGCTGATTGGAGAGATACTGCAGGAGCCCATCTGCAAATCTGGATGTGACCCAAACATTGGATATAGCTTGAGTAATTTCTGGGCAATGTTTCAATTCTTGCTAGATGCTGTTGTGATTAATAAAATGCCAGTTGATTGAAAGTATTAACTCATAGTGATTTTTTTTTTTTGAGGGGGTGGTTCAATTTATAGTCTCAATGCATGAACACTGAAATGTATTAAAAACTGCTGTGGGGATTTAAGACAATTTTACATGTTGAAAATGGGTCTTTCATTGCTGGGGCTTCATAGGTGATTTTTTGTTTTGTTTTTCTCCCCTAACCAGTAGCACAGTCAACCTGAGCATATTTTCTATCACCCCAGAAAGACACCTTATGCTTATTAATAGTTACTCCTCTTGCCCAACCTAAACCAAACACACTGCCATCAAGTCAATGCCGGCTCAGTGTGACCCCATAGAACAGGCTAGACCTGCCCCTGTGGGTTTCTGAGCCTGTAACTCTTCATGGGAGTAAAAAGCCCCATCTTTCTCCTACAGAGCTGCTGGTAGTTTCGAACTGCTGATCTTCAGTTAGTATCCCAGCTCCTAACCACTATACCACCAGAGCTCCACATTCTTCCCTAGCATTACCAAAAAAGAGAAAAAAGAAACTTACCACCATCAAGTTAATTCTGACTCATAGCAGCCCTGTAGCACAGAGAGAACCCATCTACCCATCCCAGTGGGTCTTCATGACTGTACAGCTTTATGGCAGTTGCAAGCTTCATCTTTCTCTTGCAGAGCAGCTGGTAGTTTTGAACTGCAGGCCTTGGGATTAGTAACCTAATGCATAACCCGCCACCCCACCGGGGAGAGCTATCCGACCTCACCAACCCCTGGCAATGACTAGCTCACTTGGTCATATATTTGCCCATTCTGATTATTTCATCGAAAAGGAATCATGTAATATGTGGCTTTTTATGTCTGGGTTCTTTCCCTTAGTGTAATGTTTTCAAGATGCTGTAGCATGTACCAGTCCTTCATTCTTTTTTATTGTGGAGCAGTAGCCCCCTGTACGGCTCTACCACACTTTAAAAGTCCATTGCATGATGGACATGTGGGTGGCTTCTACTTTGAGGCTATTATTAATGCTGCTGTGGACATTCACACACAAGTTTCCCTGTGGACATAGGTTCTCTTTCTCTTGGATGAATATAAATATATATATACACACACTGGAGTGGCATCACTGGGCCACACAGTAACTATGCTTAAGGAGCTGCCAGGCTGTTTTCCAAAGTGCCTGTACTATTTTGCCGGCAGCATTCCAGCTAAGAGGACTTGGCATCCTCCCCAACATCTAGGGTTTTCCGTCTTTTGGACCCTGCTTGGGCTGTGGGCTAAGTGTTGGGATGCTAACCACAAGATTGAGGTTCAACCCCACGAGGAGCTCCATGGGAGAGAGACGAGGCTGTTCTCGCCGTAAAGATCTGCAGTGTCAGAAACCCTGTGTAGGGTTGCGGTGAGGTGGCGTGGACATGGTGTCGGGGGATTTGGGTTTTGGTTGTCCTAATAGGCATGAAAGGAACCGCTGGTGGCACACTGGCTAAAGCACGCTGCGCCGGGAGAAAGATTGACGGGGTAGGTGGTTTCCCGTAGATCACAGCCTGTGAAGCCCGAGTGGCAGTTCTCTGTCCTGTCGTGTCACTGTGCATCCGAATCAACTTAGTGGCAACAGGTTTGGGTTGAGTGGGTAAGAGAAAGTGGTATAGCATGTTCTTCATTTCCCTGGTGGCTAATTTTAATGAATGTTTAATGATGGGAAACCTGGGTTGCTTTTGCCATCGCATTATATTAAGCTTCCACCAAGCTGCATTCAGACATTGTAATATAGTTTAAAACCATGTTCACGGGGGAGCACTCTTTTTTATTTTTCCTGTAGAAAGTTCTTTTAAAATACATAAAGGCTTACTTTAAGCATCTTCAAGGGAAGCAGAGATTTTTCACATTTTATACAACTTGATTCCGAACCACAGACCCAGGAGGTACAAAGATGGCTGGCTAATCACCATACTCAGGTGCTTGGGTATTTTTCTATCGTTAACCTCTGCCTTCAGTGTGGGATTTCTTTGCTGTGAGGCCCTTTTGCTCAGAAGGGCTCTTTCATGGTAGCTGTAACTGGGAGCGTATCTTGGCTGCCAGTCTGCACGTCCCTAACTGGTGGTTGTTGTGATTGACCAGAGGCGGCAGGCCGACCATAGAGGCTGCAGGACCCGCAGTCAGGGCCAGCGCTCTGGACCCCTGCGTGTGGCCATGACGTTTCCAACTCGAAACACCAGGGCAGCGGCCAAGCGAAAAGTCCTTCCTCCGCCGTCCTTGGAGAACTCCCTGATGGAGGGCACTTCAGACTCCGAAGATGAAAAAGGCATGGATTTTCTGGAGAAACGGGCTTTAAACATAAAGCAAAACAAAGCCATGGTAGGTGTCTGACTTTGTATCAGAAGGAGCTCTTCCCTGGTGCTCTGTAAGGGACTCGTCCCTTCCATCTGTGTCCAAAGAATTAGTTCCAGGTACCTGCGAAGATACTGTGTGCTAGGAAATGCCTTTCTCTCCGTACGCACTCACGGTTGAGCTTTGTTTCCGTCTGACGGTCTTGGTTAAGTGGCTAGGTGAGGTCAGAAACGGTTCGACTGTATCAGCTTATTGAGAAATGTAAAGCCATGAAATGTGCTCCTGTGACTTCCGGAAGTTCGTTGCTCATTTTCAGCAGTTATTCGGAACCAGTCATCTCTGTCTTACTCCCACCCCTTCTTAGCTTGCAAAGCTCCTGTCAGAGTTGGAAAGCTTCCCTGGCTCCATCCCTGGAAGACGTTCCCTCCCGGTTCCCAGCTCAGTAAGTACAGCGCTGTGTCGGTCTCGCTGGAGTTGAGGAAAGCGAGGGTGGATGCTTTCAGAAACCCAGTCCTCCTCGTGGGGAGCCTTCTCCTCAGCATGAGAGGAGGAATGCGGGACTCGTGCCCCCCGTTTCCTGGCCTTCTTAGGCCTCTTCCTGCTGCGTTTGCACTTAAGCCCCTTTTGGATTTATGTTCTAGACTAAGCCCTTTAAACACAGGGAATGAGGACTAGGAATTGTGTTTTTCCTCTTATTTTCATGGGCTTTCCTCTGAGCACTAGGTATATTTTGCTGCTGTGATTTTTTTTTTTAATCTGTGAATGAGACAATAAACTTAACTACCTCATTGCCTTATGCCATGCTGGGTTGTGTCCTGAGGAGCCACGGTGGCGTACCTGCTGCAGTTCACAAGGAAAGACTGTGTTTCTGGACTGCTGCCCGGGGGAGGAAGGGAATCCATCGCACAGCTCCCTCCGCTCTGCACCAGAGAGACACGGGGTGTGTTTCAGGGCTCAGGAGATACCGTGGAAGTTGTGTTTGTGTTTTTGTTTTTTTTCAAGAGATCAGCTTTTCTACCTTGACTAAGTAGAAGAATGAACAATGTCCTCTCAGTCAGTGGACAACTAGTGCCCCAATCAAGGTTACCGTGCCTGCAGATGGGCTCGATTCATGGTCCATGCGTTACGGAAAGGGCAAAGGAAATTTGGAAATGGAATTTCCTTTTACTTAAAAAATGACATCTATTCAAAAGTGCCACTTTACTCTGGAACAAATGGGTCCCGTGACATGTCCTTTGTTCAGCAATCGAAGACACCCCGGAGACGCACCTTCCCAGGTAGTGCTTCCAGAAGGAACCCCGAGCGGAGGGCGCGTCCTCTGACCAGGTCAAGGTCCCGGATTCTGGGGTTCCCTGATGGCCTGCCCACAGAAGAGGAGGAGGAAGAGGAAGATGACAAATACTTGCTGGTGAGGAAGAGGAAGGTCATGGACGACTACCTGAACGTGAGTGCTCCCCATTTGTACTTAACCCTCCTTTCCACCTCCCGAAGGTCAGTGTCAGGCGCACAACACGTGCACACAGGACCGCCACACAAGCACTCTGATGTTCCTGCGGCTTTTGAACCAGTGCTTTGTTGTGAGCTGTGCCTGGGCCCACATGAGCTCATCTGAGGGCTCTGTCAGCAGGTCACTGCGTTCTTCAGCTCTTCTTAAGTGTGAGACCGGTTTCCATGGCGTTGTCCAAGGATCCTAATAAACTTAAGGTTCACGCACCCCACCCACCCCCCGCCACAGACAGGCACACACACACACACACACACACACACACACACACACACACACCACCCCCTCTGGAACACACACACATCCCCCCGGAAGATGTCTAGATTGAATGCTCTGTGAAGAAAGGACCAGGTAGAAGTACAAGGATTAAAGGTCGGGAGAGCCGCTGTGGACATGCTTCTTGTTGTATAGGAAGATGACATGCCCAGAAATCGCCGCCCAGGGCCCATGACCCTCCCGCATGTCATCCGCCCCGTGGAAGACATTACAACCGAAGAGTTAGAGAACATCTGTGGAAACTCCCGTGAGAAGATCTATAACCGCTCTTTGGTAAGGCCCTCTACATTCCATCTGAGGGGGCGCGGGCACCTTTCGTGTTCTCTGGAGTGTGCTGATGTTCTGCCACTCTTACCATTGAGCTGTGTGCCTACACGTCGTTGGATTTTTCATGCCAGGAAAGAGTGGCGAAGCTGCTTGCTTGTTGGGCTGCTAATCACAAAGTCGGCAGTTCGAGCCCCCCAGTTGCTCTGCAGGTGAAAGATGAGTCTCTGCTTCGTGGAAGCCCTGGGGAGCAGTTCTGTTGCTCCCTGTAGGATGACTCGGTGCTAGTGGGCTCTAGGGTTAGTGCTCTTTTCCCTTGAGTCTCATTGGCTTAGTGAGTTTGCAGTGATGTTCATCTTCTTATCTTCGTTTGGAAAGAGGTTCGTTCAACCAGTACTCGGTACTTACTGCATGGGTCTATGTAGCTAAATGCTGGTATGCTAGAGGCATTGGGTGCATTTGAGCAGGTTACAGTTTGCATTGAGAGAATCTTATGTTTATTATACTGGTTTGAAATCTATAAATAGAACCATGCCACCATGCTTGAGATAACTTTTTATGCCTACTCACAGGGTTTGGGGGGGGGAAAGTGGAATTAAGAGCTAATGGAATTTTCCCATGAACTTGTTGAACCCCGCCTCCATACCTGCGCTGTAGATGTGAAATGAGGCGAAGCTATAATCTCAGGCTGTTACAGAGTGTTGTTTACATGTGGCCTGTTTTGTTTTCTTTCTTCTCACTTGCTTTCTAGGGATCCACCTGTCACCAGTGTCGACAGAAAACGATTGATACCAAAACCAACTGCAGAAACCCAGAGTGCTGGGGTGTTCGAGGCCAGTTCTGTGGGCCCTGCCTTCGAAACCGTTACGGGGAGGAAGTCAAGGACGCCCTGTTGGATCCCGTAGGTGTCTTGGTGTGGGGATGTCTCTAGGGACTGGTCAGCCATGAGCTGGCTGGTGAAGGCACCGCACACACCAGAGGTCCCCTCCCGTGCAGTTGGCCCCCTGGCACTGTTCTGATGGCGGTCGTACCACAGTTCGCTTCGCTGCTTTCTGCTTCCTCACCGGCTCCGGACATATGTCGTGAATGTCTCTAGTCTGGAGCACTCGGATTTGTGGCGTACGCGGTTCCTCTAGATGTCCCCGTGATCTCAGTCCAGAGACGTCGTGGACTTACGAGGGTTCACTTCCCGTAAGATAGTATTTATGTGCCCACCTGGAGGGAGGCTGGCTGATGGCCACCTGTGATGAAGTCCCTAGTGGCCACTTTCTCTGATGTTTAATGTTATGCAATGTTTGCCGTAGGTCGAAGGCTTGTGGTGGGCAAGGTACTGTTTTCGCAGATTCAAAGGTGGTTCCTGTTTCCAGTTTCCTAATTGGTGTGTTCATGTCTTTGGGTGTAGACTCTAAGAGAACTTCTAGAATGGCTCCCCCAGGCCCCCAAGAATTTAGGGGAGGATAGTCCTGTTGTGCTTCTTAGTCCCCCCTCCCTCGGCGATCCTGAGAATGCCAAGCTGGGCTGAACCGTCTACACTCGATGAAGTAGGGTCAGAATGAGTCACTGCATTCCTACTTCAGTGTGTGGTGACTCGTCTGCTGTGTTTGACTCTCGGGAAGACTGATGTGTCTATGCAGGCTAGAAGGATCCCTGGTGGCGTTGTGGCGATGTATTGGGTTGGGGCTACTAACCTTAATGTACGCAGTTTGAAACCACCAGCCACTCTGGGAGAAAGACAAGGCTTTCTACTCCCATAAAGAGTTGGAGTCTCGGGAACTCACAGAGGTAGTTCTACCCTCCCCTATAGGGTTGCTATCAATTGACAACTCGATGGCAGTGAATTGTTTGTGGTTTTTTGTTTTTTGGTTTAGGGTGACTAGAAGTCAGAAGTCTTTGCCTTGTGCTTCATAATATTCTCGTGTTTGTCCAGGTGAATCATCTCTAAAGGGAGATGTGGGGAGTGTTGGCAGGAGGACTCTCCGTGGAGAAATTGTTAAGCCTCCGTAGAAAAGAATTAATAATGACGGGTATTCCATTGAGGAGTTGTGGTAACTTAGTGGTTATGAGTTGGGCTGCGATCTGCAAGGTCAGCAGTTTGAAACCACCAGCAGCTCCTGGGGAGAAAAATGGGACTTTCTACTCCCATAAAGAGTTACTGCCTCAGAAACTCACAGGGGCACTTCTGCCATGGCCTGTGGGGTCTTTATGGGTCAGTATTAATGAGAGTGAGGATTTTTTTTGCTGTTTTGTTCCCAGTTTTATGTGAATTACATTTGACATTTTTCAAATATACTTATAAGTATGGACAGTAATAGCTGTAAGTGTCCATAGAGAGGGTTAGCATTACATTTGGCCATATTTGACTTTTCATCATTTTATTTTCTTGTGCTCTGTTTTAAGTAATATATTCAACCTTAAATGTCACCATTCTTAAATAGTAACAAAACCATTCTCACAATAATTGAAACTGTATAGTAACCCATCTCTGTCCAGATCCACGCCCCATCTCCCCCAAATTCACTGCCATTGAGTCAGTTTGGGCTCATCATGAGACCTTATTATAGTTTTCTAGATTGTAAATCCCTCCCTTTCTGCCTTCATGCTTTGGGCTTGCTGAGGAGATTCGGGTCTGCTGCTTTGTCTGTCTGTTCCTCTCAGCGTTGTTTCCTTGTGCTTCTTGTCGCCGTCTCTTCTGTGGGAAGGTCGTCTCCCGGCTGGAGTAGGCCTCCGTTCAACACTGTTGGTCCCGAGAACTTGGTGTTTGCACCACCCCTGGATGCATCTCGTCCCGTTGTGTTTCCGCTTAGGACTCAGATGCAGGAACAGGCTGGGATAGCAGGAGAGAACATGTCATGGGCTGGGACCATCGGTCCTGTTCCTGTCAGTCAGTGTGTATCGTTGGCGGGTATTCTGGAGAGAGATGAAGCATTAGGGGTGGGCAGTGGGTTGATTCATAATGTTGGTGCTGGGCAGGCTGAGTGCCCTGTAGGGCTCTGCCCATCCGGGTGGGAGAGCATCTGTTTCATAGTAGTTGCTGTGTAACTTTTGGATTTCCTAAACTTTTGGTTTCCTAACGTGAGGAAATGTTAAGATTTTCTGCCCCCTAAAGGCTTAAATGCAACCAGTGATACTCATCTTAGAGTAGATGCTAAATAAGTGGGGGTCAGGAAAAAATGTTTTAAACGACTTGCTTTCCCGCCCCCCCCCCCTTAAAACACGCAGCCAACACACATCCACGCAACGATTGCTGCACGCAGAATTCAGTGGCATTGGGTGCCTCCTTCACATCGCATCGTGATTCTCGCTTATCAGGCACCACTGTCCCCCTAGAGTGGCTACCCCCAACGTCTCGTCTATAATTTAGGGGTTCCTATTGTCAGTTGACCTCAGATATATAATGCTTTAAAGTAGTGCAGTGCTCAAGGCAAATGACCTTTGTAAACCGAGCTGCGCTATGTTTGACTTAAGGATGACCGAGGGGATGTTTCACTTCAAGATTGAAAGATTATCTCAGGGGAGTAGATTTGGGGTCACCTCCATTCTCAGAGGGGCTAGGAAGTTTGGATTCCGTAAGAAATCCGAATTCTATTTCACATATTCCTTCTTTCGATCAGGATCCATGTATTGACTCCTTGATCGAAACATTTCGTAAGGCCAGGACAACAGATCTCAAGAGGTGTTTGGTTAGGCCGACGTAGTCCCAGCAGCACCTGAGCCCTGTTAATGATGCCTTTCTACGATTCTCTAGAACTGGCACTGTCCGCCTTGCCGTGGGATCTGTAACTGCAGCTTCTGTCGGCAGCGCGATGGACGGTGTGCGACTGGGGTCCTGGTGTATTTGGCCAAGTACCACGGCTTTGGGAATGTGCACGATTACTTGAAAAGGTAATGGTGGCTGCCTTTCCCCTCTCTCCGGCGTCTGAATCTTCACAGCCATTTATGTGTCTTGATAGCAAGGGGGTCGAAGGCAGAATCGTGGTTATCTCTGGGTCAGGGGAAGGGGAGGGGATTGTCTGGGAGAGAGAATGGCTGGAACGTTTCGGAGTGTTGGGAACATGTTATAGCCATCTGGGTGTGGTTACCAAGATGCAGACGAGAGATTTGTGTGCATTCGTGTGGGTAGCCCTAGGACTGTAAGAACGCCGTAAGACGGACTTTTGTTTGTTTTAAGTGAATTGGGCTTTCAAAAGAGAAATTCTTAGCTTGGAAACCAGATGCTAACGTATATTCCCGTTCCTCTTTTGACAGTCTGAAACGGGAGTTTGAAATGCAAGCGGAATAGCCCGACGAAGACGTCACTGCTCGCAGGCCTTGTACTTCCCAAGTGACCTTGTTAAACGGTCCGGTTTTGTCAGTGGTTGCAACCCCAGTCAAGAATGCTCATTCTGTTTCACCGGAAACCCAAATCCAGCCCAGCTCGCGGGCCATAGGCGTGTGTACATAGATTGCTAGGTTGGCATTTGCCGTTCTGCACTGTCTCTTCCGGCCCCCAGCCCTGCAAAGTTGTCCCTTTCTTTTTCATTGGGCCTCTCCCACCACTTACTTTCCGCACTCTTCGAAGCGCCCATTCTATGAAAGCCTAATTGATTTGGGAGCTGTGGTGCAGCAGTGGTTAAGTACTTGGCTGCGAGCCGAACGGCCCACTGTCCAGTACCACCTGCTGCGCCGTAGGGGGAAGACCGTCTTTGTGTCAAGGGTTGATTGGTGTTGAAATAACCTTGCAATCCACCCAAAAAACCAAGCACTTAGAACAAAGTAGTGTTAACTAAACTAAATCTGTTCGGTTCCATAGAACAGCCCTCTCGCTGTTTACATTGGGAACAACCGTGTGATTTTTGTGTTCCTACTTGCTGGTATTTTTAGCAGAATGGAGTCACAAGGGCCTTAGCGCATGTGGAAAAATTAGGTAATTGTTGCAAAGTGGAGTGCATTGCTTTAGCTGCCTCTGGATCTGGGCGCTCATTATACAAGTTGCCACGGTAGAGACTTCGTTGTTGCTGATTTATTCCATCACAAGGTTAAGTGGCGAATCCTGCTTACACTGTCATTATGATCCAAAGGTTTGTGAGCAATGATATACTTAAAATCATCGGAAATTAGTGGTGAAACTTCAGGAGGCTCATTTGAAATTCTTGGTATAAAACTTTAGTATAATTTTAGTGTGCCAAGGCTTTTGCCGTTCCTCGGGAAAGTATCTCGATTTAGGTCTTGAGTCGTTTTGCATGGGAATTGCAGCTTAGTAAATAAATCCTAGTCCACGGAGCTTTGCCAGTTTTTACTTCCTTGAAGAAATTACCAGCTGGCCATGGGGTCCGGGTGCAGATTTTAAGCGCTTTTATTGCAATGAGAAGTGCCTTTTTTGGAGATTGTTGATTCTCAACCGTTTGCTATGTGACAGTTCTGCCAGCCTAGTCTTTAGGCAGCTTTCTGAAAATGTTTCCTTTTTTTTATTAATCTGCTCTGGTCGAGGTAGGTCTACTCTGTTGGTGCACCCTGGTCAGTGTTGGGTGAATCATCAGCCCTTGAATCAGTACATGTAAATAGAGCTTTTGACCTGTAATGCTTTTATACAAAGGTGTTTATTTTAATAATAAAATGTTTTGTTCTAGCTTGTCTCCTTTTTTTTTTAATCTCAGGGGCTATGCTTATTGTAATTATTCTCTCATTTAAATACAATGCCATTTCCGTCTCTATTGTTGGCTGCCATCTCCCAGCTCCTGGGCATCTCATGTACAAAACTGGGTCAGACCATCGTGTGATCCATTGGGGTTTTGTTGGCTGATTTTCAGAAGTGGATCCCTCGGCCTTTCTGCCTAGTCTCTGTCAGTCTGGAAGCTCTGCTGAAACCTGTTCGGTATCAGCGACAAGTAGGGCTCTGCTGATAAACTAGTGGCACCTGTGCTTAGAGACAGAGTGTACTGCCCAGGAAAGGACCCTGGGCCTTCTGTGTGGAAGGCTAGCATTCCATCACCGCTCTGCCTTTCTGGTTTCCAGTTCCTGATCCGATCCGAAAATCAACAGACAGCAACCGTGCCTGAGAGAAAACAACATATCCCATGAGGTTTTATAGTATTTTCCTTTACCAGTAGCCAACCCAGGAACTAACATTGATTTTGTAATAACTAGTTTGGTTTTGTTACGCAATCCATTAAGTACATACTGTTCCTTGAGGCCTGTTTTAGGATTGAGAATCTTAACACTAGGTTTACGGGTAGTGTCATTTTGAAGCACTTTTGATTTCCTCAATGAAAATTACAGAAATGATTTACATTTATCATTTATGTTGATGTATCCATTTAATGAGACATATATACATATCCAAATTCATTTCCTTCTAAGCCTTCTAGTCTCTCTGTGTGGTATGCCCATCTCTACAGATAGGCATCAATTTGACGCAAATGTAAATCAAGTATTAATCCCAGGAAACCAACTTCATCCATGAAAGCAACTGTTACAATTAACAGTGCAGTTGACATTGCCATACTGACTTGCCCAAGCACCCCTGTGCTATGTAGCCCCAGCGTCTCAAATGTTGTAAGATGTTCACTGCTCTAAATTTTATATATGTAGTATCGCATGGTTGCATTTATAAGTTAATAGTATATCATTGTGTCTTTAAAGAAAATGCGCGGTATCGTTCACGTGTTGGTTTGATGCATGTCCATAGCGATGGGTGTATAAGAAATGTCTGTAGGCCTAGTGTTAAGCCAGTTAGGGTCTTAGGAGCGCTCTCACCCAGTGTTTTGTGCCGTCCAGAAGCTGCCACCGCTTAGGTTCACACGACCAACTGGTTTTCACAGAGTCGTTTTTGTGACAAACCCAATGGCCCACAGTCTTACATATTTGTGATCTGGTTCTTCATGGAAGCGTGCTGACTTTTGCTCCAGGCTTAGCTGAGAATCCTTTTCTAGCAAACAGCTATGGGGGCGGGGGCAACCAAACTTGCCACTTAGTTGATTCCGACCACTGGCAACCCTATGGGACAGAGAGAGCTGCCCCCAGAGGTTTCTGTGACGAAATCCTCCCTGGAGCACAGCGCCCCATCTTCCTTCTAGTTTCAGGGTGGTCAGCTAGATTTGGACAACGGGTGTTCTGTGTAGATCCAACAGAAAAAGAAAGGTCATCTAAATTGAGGCTTGTTTGGGAATTGTCTGGTGTTGGCCATGTTTTAATCATTTCTAAATCCAAAACTCCCTGTCAGCAAGACAGGGTAGAACTGCCCCTGTAGGTTTCTGAGATGAACGCTATTGGAGTAGAAAGCCTCTTCTTCTCTGGAGCTACTGGTGATTTCGAACTGTTGACCTTAGGTTAGCAGCCCAATATGTAACTAAAGGAGCTATGGCGGCACATAGCTAAGGAGCTGCTCTTGGGGGGAAGATGAGGCTTTCTACGATAAAGATTCATGGTCGTGGAAACCCACAGGGCAGGTCCACCTGAGCCTTGGTGTTTTTAATTGCCTCATATGCATGTGAAAGTTGGCTAATGAATAAAGAAGATGACAGAAGAATTGGAGCATTTGAATTAGGATGTTGCCCCCCAAAGTAGAATGAACTGTCAGAAGAACAAAGAAATCTGTCTTGGAGGAAGTACCACCAGGAAGCTCCTTACAAGCAAGGATGGTGAGACTTTGTCTTAAGTACGCATGCTTGGTAAGGTAGACAGGCTGTGGAAAAGAAGGCCTTCTATAAGCCAGATTGACACTGTGACAACAGTGTACTGAAACATAATTTTGAAGTTGTGTCAGGAGTTGGCAGTGTTTTGTTCAGTCGAACAGAGGATACTATGAGTTGGAACCAACTTGAGGGCACCTAATAACATCAGGGAAATTAACAGGTTACAGTACAAGATAAAAAAAAATACTCAGAATATAATTCTTTCAGTCAGAAGTCTCTTCTCAGTCTTGCCTGTGGGTGTACCTCTCTCTGATCCTTGACCTCTCAACCATGAGGTCCCTTGATCTCCGCTCTGCACAGACAGTGTTACAAAACTCCGTTAGTACTGTTGATAAATCTAAGCTTCCGACCAACGACACTCAGCCCTAGCTCCATGAGTCAGCAAACCTAGCACCCCCAAAAAGTGCCTGGAGGCACCCATTCTGCAAGCCATGCGCCTTTTGGAAGGCACTCAACTTGACACATTCCATACTGCTGTCTGCTGCTGCTCCTCGGCCACTGCTCTGGTGTCCCTCTGGTGTCTTCTGAATCGAGGAGGTTCAGCATGCATGAATTTCAAGGTCCAAAGGATATACTCTGCTCTGGGCTCTCCTTTCATGATGGTAGTGAGAGTCCCCTTTCCTGTTTTCGAGATGGCTCGTTTTATACCCAGCAGGATGTCAAGTGATCAGTCCCCCATATTAAGAGTTCTGGGGTTTTACCGTCACAATTAACCTTGTTAACAATCCCTCATTTCTATATGACTAGGGTAAACCTATCGGCACTTCCCTCCACCTTCTCCTTCCCAGTCCCATTAGGAAAAGAGTGCATACATTCAATCTGGATGGTCCGGCCCAGTCATTTGGTAGGAGTTACAAAGACTGGCTAGAACACCCGTGCCAAGTAAGTCACTGCACCTCACTTTAAGACACCCACCTTCACCCTGTCCTCTCAGTTGGATAACTAAATGTTCATTTCTTGTGGATCATACAGTATGGCTCTTAGAAAAGTATTAATCACCAGTGCTGATACTGAACTTGCCCGAGTTTTCATGACCATTTTGAGTATCTACTGCTTAAGAAGGGAAAATATGTAAATAAAATTCCTTTATGCAAATGTTTTCTGCAACTCTCATTGCTAGCCAAATTCTTGTAAATCATGATAAGCAGATGCTACTGCACTAAATGACTAAGTACAATTATGGAGATAGAGTCTATTTATCTTATTTTTTACTGTTGGGGAGGGAGGGAAGGATATTAACTAAAGTTTACCTGCCTGCGTGATGATCAGGGCAAACACCAAGAACTCTATTAATTGATTTCAGCAAGTGGAGTTGTGGGACGCTGAAGAATTGGGACAAATTCTTAGGCAACTTAGGTTGTTTTACCAGACAACTGTGTTTTGGAAACAGTCCAATGTCAAGATTTCTGAGTCTCTGCCCAATGTTTAGCTTTTGATACTATTTTGTCCCCTTAGCTTTATTATTATTTTAATTGAAATAATAGTTATTTTTTGAATATTTTTATTGTAATTGAAATAAAATTCACATAATAGAAGTTTATCATTTTAACCATTTACAAATGTACAATTCAGTGGCATTCACGGCAAAACTGTTACCACATCTTATTGCAGTCTTTCATATAACTCCAAAAGAAGCCCATCTGTGAATGACTGTGAAGACCCCAAGTCCATTCACAGAGCCTCCAATGCACTCAGCCACCATTGAAGGCTATTGGTCCATTGACCTACTGTGTGTCTGGCCTTGCTCGCAGACAGTGCTTTAGGAAGTGGAGGACTGTAGTTGTAGGGGGATAAAATGGAGCATACTGTCATTTGTTTTCCCTTTGGGTCCATTTTTAACTACTTTCTGTTATCCTTAGGATTCAGAATTTTTTGGTGTTTTATTCTGTTGAGTTTTTTTGGGGGGTATTTTCTTTATATAAAACTGAGGATAGGTCAATTTATAGAGAAAGCAATTAATACTTTTGTAGGGTTGTGACAGGGAAGTTGGGGAGCTAATAATAATGGATACAAGAATGAAGAAAATGTTCTAAAATTGATGGTGATGATTACGTAACTTTAAAATATTTAAACCATTGAATTGTTTGATTTGTGAATTATATGTCAGTACAACTATTTTTTTTAAAAAAAGGATCCTTTTGCTCATGCAGTGGTCACTCCGCGTTTCTCCTTCCCTCAGCATGGGGCAACTATGCTGGGTGTTCACGTGTCATCCAATACGTGCTTTTTCTGCAGCTGGCTCTTTTCATACATCATCAGGTCCAGCTATGCTATAGCACTTATTAGCACTTCATTCCCTTTTGTGGCTGTATAATATCCCATTATATTGGTAATCATAATCAACATTCAACATAGAACCATTTTGTTCATCCATTATTAAGCCTATGGACATTTGGATTGTTTTTGTCTTTTGGCAATTGTGAATAGTGCCCAAATGAATATCTGTGTGGTGAATAGTGCCCAAATGAATATTTGTGTACTAGTCTTTGTTTGGGTACCTATTCTGTTTTTTCCATTAAATACATGTTTATTTATTTATATATATATATTTAGGACTGAAATTGCTGGGCCATGTGGGAATTCTGTTGAACTTCTTGAGCAACTACAAACTCTTTTCCACAGCCCCTGTACCCTTTTATATCCCCAACGGCAATGGCCACCACTTGTCTGCTGGTTTATCTTATCGTGGTAGCTCATGGTTTTCCATCATGCTGAAAGCTATGCCATTGATAGTTCACCAGTGGAGGACAAGTTTCAGTGGTGCTTTCAGACTAAAACTAGGGAGAAGGAAGTGGTGATTCACTTCCAGAAAATCAGTCCTTATGAAAAGCAGCCTTACATTGTCTGATACAGTGCGAAAAGATGAACCGCTCAGGTTGGAAGGTACTCAAAAGACGACTGGACAAGAGCTACCACCTCAAAGTAGAGCGGTCTT